TATGTCCCTAGTACTCAGAAAGCTGAGGCAGGAGGATTGCCATACCTTTGAGACCAGCCAGGGATGAGTAGCAAGGCCCTGCCTCAAACTGAATAATAACTTTATTTACAAGTTGGGCGTTGGTGGAGAAAGCATTTAGTAACATAGGTAGTGCCATGCCTTTGCTAGCCACTAGTGGACGCTGTCATCCAAGGAAAGTTCGATTGCCGGCTTCAGGGACCTTCGCCCTGGTTAGGTAGGAGAGATACTCCTTTTATTTATTTATCTGTTCAAAATTTGTTTATTTGTTTATTTTGGTTTTTCAAGACAGAGTTTCTCTGTGTAGTCCTGGCTGTCCTGGATCAGGCTAACTTCAAACTCACAGAGATCTGCCTGCCTCTGCCTCCCAAGTGCTGGGATTAGAGGTGTGTGCCACCACCCAGCTTCTGTTATTATTTTTTTAATCTCTTTTTTGCTCTCCATATAGTTTTGCTGGCCTAAAATTAACTATATGGACGAGGCTGTCCTTGAACTCATAAAGACCCACTTACTTCTTCCCCTCAAGTGTTAGGACTAAAGGCATGCCCCACCATGCCTGCCCAGCTACAACTAGTTTCTTGAACATGTCGGGTGACCATACACAGAGGTTCTGCATGTGAGGGAATTTGGGGCTTTGTTAATGGTCTCTTTTAGAGCGTTTGAATGTCCTATGTTAGATCTCTGTCTTTCTAGGACCAAAGCTACGTATGGAAGAAAGCGTTTATTGGGGGATTGCTTACAGTTTCAGAGAACTGGAGTCCAAGAGCATGATGGGGATCACTGCAGCAGGCAGGCATGGGGCTGGAGCAGTAGCTGAGAGCTCACATCCTTATCTTCAAGAGGCACTGAGAGCTGATTTAGAAAGGCCTGGTCTTTTGAAAACTTAAATCCCACCCGCAGTGACACACCTAGTCGAACCTGGCTGCGCTTCCTAATCCTTCCCTGTTTCACCAGTGGGGGACAAGCATTCAAATACAGGTGCCTGAGGGGCCATTCTTATTCAAACTACTACAATTTCTACGTCAATTTAAGCTTTGAATGGAAAACTCACAAAGTATGTCTCTTTTGGGGCGGGGCAGGGAGTGGGGCTAAGGATGGCACCTAGAACTTTCTACGCACATCAGGGAACAGTTCCACCACCCTAGTCCCAAAGAGTTGATCTTGAATTTCTCTTAACCCGTGACACCCTTCCCTTTACACAGGGAAGCTGTTCTGGGCAGCCAGCTTTGACTTTCTTCTTTGGCACAAATCTGCAACATTTGGTAGGGTTACAGTGAGCAAGTGCATGATCTTACTGGATGAGATTACCTGTCTGATGTTAATAAATAGGCCATTTCCCCCCATTTCACTGCATACAGTGTCTTAAAGTCTTCCATTAAAGATCAATCTCTTGGGGTCTTGTTGTCTTTGCCTGGTTCTTGATTTGTGTGTGTGTGTGTGTGTGTGTGTGTGTGTGTGTGTGCTTATTTTACGTTTAGCTTTTGTGAGGCAGGTTCTCTCTGTGTAGTGCTGGCCTGGAGCTCTCTGTGTAGACCAGGCTGGCCTCAACAGGGATCCTCTTGAGTGCTGGCATTAAAGGTGTGCATCACCACACCCAGCTCTTGGGTGTTTGTTTGTTTTCTTTTTTTTTTTTTTTTGGTTTTTCGAGACAGGGTTTCTCTGTGTAGCTTTGCGCCTTTCCTGGAACTCACTTGGTAGCCCAGGCTGGCCTCGAACTCACAGAGATCCGCCTGGCTCTGCCTCCCTAGTGCTGGGATTAAAGGCGTGTGCCACCACCGCCCGGCTGTTTGTTTTCTTTTTAAGAGATTTACTTTATTTTTATTTTGTGTGTGAATGTTTTGTCTGAATGTGTGTCTGTGCACCATCTACATAGTTGATGCTGACAGAGGCCAGAAGAAGGTGTCACATTCCCTGGAACAGGAGTTACACATGGATGTGAGCCACCATGTAGGTGCTAGGAATCCAACCTGGATCCTCTAGAAGAGCAGCCAGTGATGTTAACCTCTAAGTCATCTCTCCACCCTGAATCCATTTATGTTATCCTTGTCTTTAGTACTGAACTAGACAATGAACTCTAGAGTCTGAAGAGGAAAGTTAGCACTAAAAGTGAAAAAACCAGAAGCCAGTCTTGGTAACCTATGCCTGAGTCAGAGTTAGCTCGGGTTATGTGGTAAGTTCCAGCCAGCCTGGGCTACGTAGCAAGACCATCTCATGAATAAACAAACAGTAAGTAAGTAAGAAAAGGGTCTGTAAACAAACTAAGGAAAACAAACCACTGAGCAGCATTCCCTCATGGGCTCTGCTTCATTTCCTGTCTCCAGGTTCCTGCCGTGGCTTCCCCTGATGATGGACTGTGACCTGTAAGCCAAATAAACCCTTTCCTCTTTTTTTTTTTTTTTTTTTTTTTTTTTTTTTTGAGATAGGATTTCTCTTCTGTGTAGTTTTGGTGCCTCTCCTGCTGGTTAAGCGGCGGCACTCATGGCTGGCCACCATGGCCATGCTGACTACTGGATGCTGGGGTGGCGGAAGAATCACGAGCCACGGTTACCTTTCTGGAGCTTTATTGGGAGGGAGAGAGAGGGAGGGAGAGAGAATACGGAAGGAGAGGCAATACGGAAAAGAGAGGGCACAGAGGGCACGCCGTAGCAGGCTAATGACGTAATTAAGGACATAAGCCTTACATCTCCTGGATCTTGCTCTGGAGACCAGGCTGTCCTCGAACTCAGAGAGATCCGCCTGGCTCTGCCTCCCGAGTGCTGGGATTAAAGGTGTGCACCACCACCACCTGGCTCCCATTGCTCTTTTTAAAGCATGCTGCCTGGCCAACCCTTTCCTCTTACCGAAGCAACAGAAAGCAAACTAGAAGAGTTGAGAAACTAATTTTCAACTATTTTCTTTCGAGCTGTAGGTTATTCCTGCTGTAGGTGCTGGTTAAGTGCGTTGAATGGAGGAATGCATGGCTGAGTGGCTGTATCAGGGTTCTTGGAAGAACAGAACTTATAGAATGAGTATATACATATGGCTTACAGGCTGTGGTCTAACTAGCCCAACAATGGCTGTCTGTCAACAGATGGTCCAAGAATCCAGTAGTTGTTCAGAATGTCCTTGAGGCTGGATGTCTCAGCTGGTCTTCAGTTTGTGCTGGAGTCCCGAAGAAGTGTGCTCTATTGCCATCGAAGAGCTGGTCTTGCCAGTGAGAGGGAGGGCAAGCAGGCAAAGAGGGAACCTGCTTCTTCCATGTCCTTCATGTAGGCTACCAGCAGAAAGTGTGGCCCAGAGTAAAGGTGGGTCTTCCCACCTCAAATGGTTTAATTAAGAAAAAATCCCCCACAGGTATGCCCAGCCATTGGGTTTTAGTTCATTCCAGATGTCATCAAGTTGACAAGAATAGCCCTCATAGTGGCCTGGACTTTGTCATTTCCAGGACTTAGTTGAGGGGCACAGTGTCTTACCTGAAAGTCCCAAGGCAGAAAGGACAGTGCTAAGTGGTACTATGCTCGAAGAATATTTAAATGCAGGTTTTGATGGGTTAAGGAGGGCACTGAAAGTTCATTGGTGGTCCCCACGCCAAGGTTTATTTTTATTTTATGTGTATGAGTGTTTTGTCTGCATATATATATATATCTGTGCACCTTGTCTGTGCAGTGCCTGAGGAGACCAGACTCAGATCCCCTGGTATGGTGATACTTTGTGTTCTGTCAAATAAAACTTGCCTGGAGGTCAGAGTGCAGCTAGCCACTAGATAACCGTAGAAGCCAGGCAGTGGTGGCACACACCTTTAATCCCAGCACTTGGGAGGAGGAAGCAGGAAGATCAGGAATTCAAGGCCACCCTGGGCTACACAAGATGGATCCAGTCTAAAAGAACAGAGCCAGTGGTGGCACACACACACTTGGGATCTCATGCCTTTAATCCCAGCACTAGGGAGGTGGAGACAGGAAGTGATATTGCTGGCTGGAGAGAGGAATATGAGGAGGCAGGAGACAGGAGCTCAGTCTCTTTCAGGCTGAGGAGTTGGCAAGGTAAGAGGTGGTGGCTGTGGCTTGCTCCTGTGTCTTTCTGATCTTTCAGCATTTGCCCTATATCTGACTCCAGGTTTTTATTATTAAGGCCAGTTAGGATTTGTGCTACACCCTAAGACTGGAGTCATAGACTGTTGTGAGCCGTCATGTAGATGCTGGGATTCAAACCTGGGTCCTCTGGGAGATCACCCAGTCTTCTTAACCACTGAGCCATCTCTCTAGCAGTTAAGAAAAGAAATTTCTTCTTTTCCATGGTTAGGAATAGGGATGACAGCTGGGTGTGATGGCTCACATCTTTAATCCCAGCACTCAGGAGGCAGGAGAATCTCTATGAGTTCAAGGCCAGCCTGATCTACAAAGCAAGTTCCAGGACTGCTATACAGAAGCCTTGTCTCAAACAAACAAACTAAGGATCAGGAATGACAGATGAGCCTCATTTGTTGACTCAGTTGATAAACTTTCATGAATTCGTGGTTAAGAACATTTGCTACTCTTCTAAAGAACCCATGTTCAGTTCTCCAGCACCCACATGGTGGCTCACAACCATCTCTAACTTCAATTCTGGGCAATCCAGTACAGTCTTCTGGCCTCCACAGGCACCAGGCACGCACAGGCATACATGCAAGCAAAACACCCATACACATAAAATATAATTTTTTAAAAGATGTATTTTATTTATTATTATACAGTGTTCTGCCTGCATGCCGGAAGAGGGCACTAGATCTCATTGTAGATGTTGTGAACCACCATGTAGTTGCTGGGAATTGAACTCAGGACCTCTAGAAGAGCAGCTAGTGCTCTTAACTGCTGAGCCATCTCTCTAGCCCCCAAATATAATCTTTTTAAAATTAAAAATACAAAAAAGAGCGTGTTCCAAACAACTCTTGTTCAGGATGGGGGAAGCAATACCACCCTCATTGATGTCTGACTGGAACTGATTTTGCCTATTCCTGTCTCTAGGGACCCAGCTGAAGCCTGGCCTGGGAGCCAGGATGGCCATCCACAACACCTTGCTGATGTGTCTAGGACTGCCTCTGTTCTTTCCAGGGGCCTGGGCCCAGAACCATGCCCCACCTGGCTGCAGCCCAGACCTGGATCCGATCTACTACAACCTTTGTGACCGCTCCGGGGCTTGGGGCATCGTCTTGGAGGCAGTGGCCGGGGCAGGCATCATCACAACATTTGTGCTCACCATCATCCTTGTGGCCAGCCTTCCATTTGTGCAGGACACTAAGAAGCGGAGCCTCCTGGGGACCCAGGTGTTCTTCCTGCTGGGCACCCTGGGCCTCTTCTGCCTTGTGTTTGCCTGCGTGGTAAAGCCTGATTTCTCCACCTGCGCCTCTCGACGCTTCCTCTTTGGGGTCTTGTTTGCCATCTGCTTCTCCTGCCTGATAGCCCATGTCTTTGCCCTTAACTTCCTAGCCCGGAAGAACCACGGGCCCCGGGGCTGGGTGATCTTCACTGTGGCCCTGCTTCTCACCCTTGTGGAGGTCATCATCAACACCGAGTGGCTGATCATCACCCTGGTACGGGGAGGTGGCCAGGCTGGCCCTCTGGGCAATGGCAGTGGCAGTGCCGACTGGACCATGACCTCCCCCTGTGCCATTGCCAACATGGACTTTGTCATGGCACTCATCTACGTCATGCTGCTACTGTTGGGAGCCTTCCTAGGAGCCTGGCCCACCTTGTGTGGCCGCTTTAAGCGCTGGCGGAAGCACGGGGTCTTTGTGCTGCTCACCACGTCCCTCTCCATTGCCATCTGGGTGGTATGGATTGTCATGTACACCTATGGCAATAAGCAGCACCGTAGCCCCACCTGGGATGACCCCACCCTGGCCATTGCCCTCGCTGCCAATGCCTGGACTTTTGTCCTCTTCTATGTCATCCCCGAGGTCTCCCAGGTGACCAAACCCAGCCCAGAACAGAGCTACCAGGGGGACATGTACCCTACCCGCGGCGTGGGCTACGAGACCATCCTGAAAGAGCAGACGGGCCAGAGCATGTTCGTGGAGAACAAGGCATTTTCCATGGATGAGCCAGCCTCAGGTGTGGCAAGGGAGTTGTGTTGTGTATATCCTTGTGTGTGTGTGTGTGTGTGTGTGTGTGTGTCCAGGTGTGTCTGTGTGTGAGACTAGACAGGGTCTCGTGTAGCTGAGGCTGAGCTTTAACTCACTAAGTCGCTGAAGCTGGGTCTCCAATGGGTCCTTCCTTCTCCCAGTTGTTGGGATCGTGGGTATGCGTCACCATTTCCAGCTTTTGTTTTTTTTAAATTACATTTATTTATTCAGTCAGTCTTTTCCTTCCTACCGTGAGGCTTCTGGGGATCAGACTCAGTGTGTCAGGCTTGGTGGCAAGCGCCCTTACCTGGCTGAGCCGTCCTTTACACCGTGTCTTTTCCTGCAGGGCAGGGAGCCATTGAGAAAAATGGAAGGTCTTGTGAATGTCTGCAGCTTGCTGCTTGAAGCCCCTGCAGTCAGGGATGGAGCGTGTAGCTCAGGGGTAGAACATTTGTGTAGCAGGCCCAAGGCCCCTGGTTTAGTCTCCAGCACCACAAACAACCATTTCTGATGACCCACAGTGACCTCAGCAGCACTTTTGTTTACTGTAAGGAATACTAGCATTTATGGGATACCTGCTTTTGCTGGGCTCTGTGCTAAGACCTTGTGGGTTTGAGACTCACAAGCTGCAGCTCCCTCAGGCATGACCAGCACTCTGCTGGACCCCAACTGTGGGTAAGATATTTGGGGGTTTTAGACGCAGCCTGATGATCACATGCCGGCTCTGGGATCTCCGACAGAAGTTCAATTAGAGGCAATGGACATTCTAGAAACAAATCCTAGGCTCTTCTGTGCACACTGTGTGGCCCTCATACTTCCTGCCTTGTGGAAATTGGTGACCCTTGCTCTTGTGGACGCAGTCTGTGATCTTACTCCCTGGAGATGACTGCTGTCCCCACACTGGGGTGGCTTCTGGCACACAGAGTGGACCACTGAATGTGCAGGGAGGGGGTCACTAAGGAAGCCAGAGAGACAGAAGACCTGGGCAGGTGCTGGGAGGAGCGGCAGGCCCTGTCCCCACGCTGCTCTTAATGCAGTACACCTTTGTCAGGCCGGAGAGTTCTTAGTCTTTTTCTTCTCATGGAGGTAACTCCTGGGCTCTATGTTTTTATTTATTTCATTTTTTTTTTTTTTTTCCAAAATGGAAAAATCAATAGCACGAGCTCAGCACTTAGGAATCCTGCACAGGCTGTGGTCCCTGAGCTCAGCAGAAGTCAGCTGAATCCTGTATACCTGGCCTCCTCGGGAAGGCCTGTTCTTGGGCCCCAAGGCTAATCAGCAGCTCCCAGATACCCCAGAGGTGCCCAGCAGGGTGGATCAGATGGGAAACCCACAGCAGAAGGTGCAGGCGGCAGCTACAAAACTCTCTGAGTACTTGCCAGGGGCCCAGGATGGACTGAGCACCGAGTCTCCCTGGCTGGGCCCTGCATGGCTACAAGGTGGCACCAGCAGCCACCCATGCCCTGTGAGGACATGAACGCATACAAAGCTGTGGGGTCTCAGCTGTATTTCCCCTTGTTCCTGGCAGCGGGTGCATAGTGGTAGAGGCAGGAACTAGAGGCTGGCCGTCTTGGAAAGCAGCCCGAAGGCTCATGTGCCCCTCCTGGCCTCTGGCCCTGAGGGCGGATAGGATGTGAAGGTTGCTGACAGTGTGTTTTTCCTGAGCTATGGGGAGGGGGCGGGGGGCGGGGGATGACTGGTGTGTGTGTGTGTGTGTGTGTGTGTGTGTGTGTGTGTGTGTGTGTGTGAGTCCCACAATGCAGGGATCCAAACAGCAGTCTTTTGTACATCTAAACAAAAGAGCACCAGGCGTTAGAGGGGGGCCCAGGTCCACAGCTCACTCTCAGGTCACCACTCCTTGGGTCGCGTGTTACGAGAGGGCCCTAGGGACCCCCATTTCCCTACGCCCAGGAGAGTTGCTTGGGCTGTGGGTCAAAGCAGGAGACAACAGTCCAGAAATCTTCAAATTTGAGCTTCTTTTTTCACCCACAGCGAAGAGACCCGTGTCACCTTACAGTGGCTACAATGGGCAGCTGCTGACCAGTGTGTACCAGCCCACTGAGATGGCCCTGATGCACAAAGGCCCGGTGAGTGGATCCCTCAGGTGCCAGTGACCTGGATGAAAGCCACAGAGCTCAGCCTCATTTGCTGGTAGAGAGACTGTACAGGCAGTGAGTGTATGGATGGACAGAGGCATTGCGGTATGGCGAATTTCTCCTGGGACATCAACCCTGCCAACCCAGGGCTCTAGTACACTGCAGTGGATCCTGCCCTGCATCACTGGGCACTGCCCACAGCTGCGTGGCATGTACCTATAATCCTAGCACTTGGGAGACAGAAGCAGGAAGCTCAACGGCTCGATCAAGGGCTATCTTTGGCTACAGCTTGCACCACTAGCCTGGGCTATATGAGACCCTATGCCTGGCTAACTAGTCTTGACCGTATACCTCCCCTGGGCTCTGGGAACCAGTACTCCATTAGTTAGGGGGCGGTGGGAACAGGAAGGAGGTGGATTAGATTCCAACTCTATATATGTTCCTCCCTGCTGGCAGTGGTTGCCAGAGAGGTCAGCGACCTGCCTTGGCAGGATTCTGGGAACAGGAAGCCAGGAGGTCAGCAGGGTTCTGTTCCCATCCCTTCCCCGCCCCCCAAGCTGGGAGCAGGGGATGGCTGGTGTGTCTGAGACTTCCAATTCCAGCTCTTTTCCTCTCACCAAGTGTGAAGCTGCAGCCTGGAGCAGAGCTGAGTAGTTTCCATTCACACCATGATCAGAGGCTACCTCTCTGCGTCCAGCCTCTGAACCTTGTCCACAGGAACCACCCCAGCCTCTCTCCCGGTTTGGAGGGTGAGCTGGACGGGTCTGTTATTTCTGCTTAGTTCTCACACCATGGTCCTCAGACCACCAAAGTGAGCAGCGATTGAGAACTTGCTTAAAATGCAGATTGGGTCTGAGGTGGAACAGGTTATTGTGACTTCTGTTGTTGGTAACCTGGGGGTGGGGGCTACTGAGGTCACCTGGTAGCTTGGGTTCCACCTAAAAGGGAGTCACTCCCCAAGGCAGATCTCCAGGGAACTTCAGGCTTTCCCATCGCTGCAGTTAAACATTTGTCAACCTATCTCAGGGTGGGGACTAGCTAGGAGTTGGAGCTCAACTAGGCGTAAGGCTTGACAAACAGTCCTGTTAATTCTGGTGTGTTCCCATGTTGAAGCTCCCAGATCTAAGTGTCCTAGATGGCAGGGAGTGGTTGGATGTTCCTGGAAGTGGGAATCCCCCCACACGTGGGAGGGTCACCCATATCTGCTGGTTTGGGGTCCTGGGAGCCTTGGGGCTTTAGTGGTAACATCTGTCTTACATGGTGATAAGGCCCGCGGGACCACCCCAGGGGTTCACGTTCCTTCCAGGTAGAATATTTGGGGCCAGATTCCTAAGCCAGAGTTATATGGACCAGGACCTACCAGAAGGGTACTGAGTGTTGTAGTGACATTTTGGGGACTCAGGTAAGACACTTGGAGAAAGGGAGCTTGTGAGTGGTACCAGTCATGCAGTAACAGCTTAATGCCGCTGATCAGAGGTTTCCCCGAGGAACTAGAAGCAGGAACTCAGAGACAGGGTCTCCTTCGGGACACCCCGAAGTGCTCAGAAGGCCAGTCCTCTATTTCTAGAGGTAGAGTCATCCATCTTATCCTGCCAGCAGGGCCCAGACATGGGGGGGGGGGCGTTGGGAGAGGGTCAAGAGGTGGGAGCCAGCAAGCACAGCCCTGCAGGAAGCTGAGTGTGTGTGCCTTTGCCCTGGCGGAACCTGGCTCCTGATTCCCCCGACTGTGAGACCTCCTGTTCTTCCTTCCAGTCCGAAGGCGCTTATGACGTCATCCTCCCACGGGCCACCGCCAACAGCCAGGTGATGGGCAGTGCCAACTCAACCCTGCGAGCTGAAGACATGTACGTGGTCCAGAGCCACCAGGTGGCCACACCACCGAAAGACAGCAAGATCTCTCAGGTCTTTAGAAATCCCTACGTGTGGGACTAAGGCAGCAGCTGTGGCCAGGTGGAAGTGGGTGGATTTGGAGAGGGCACTCAGGACCCGGCTTGGGTGAGGGACCACTAGGGGCACCGTGCTTTGTGGCTCCCTTCTCCCTCACTGGCTCAGGGTAGCTTATGCCTCAGGGTCAGATCCCCTGATCTGCCAATGTTTGGGTGGGTGTCGTGGGGGGCCCCCTCCCTCTCAGTATTTGTGGAGTCCAGGCGCCTGCCCTGTTTCATGCCAGGGCCACCTCTGGCGATCTGCTCTATCCAAATAGTGTTCTGCTTGGGTTGGTGGCTGGTCTCATGCCTACACTCTCCGGTGACACCTGCAGCCTCCAGAGAGCTCAGAGAGGATGCCTTGGGCTGGATCCTGCTCCTCTGTGAGGAGCAAGGGTGCCTAATAAACACATGATTGCTTTATTAACTCTTGCTCTGGGCTTGTGGTTTCTGACTGGGTTCTCACCTCCTGTGACTCTTTCCTTTCTCCATGGCGGATCAGTGAGTGCACTCACTCTCTCTCCTCCTCACGTCCAGCTCTTGGGGCTGACGCTTCTAGTGTCTCCTGTGGTAAGGGGCTGGTGCCTCCTCCGGGACAGGGCTCTCTAGTGTGTCTGCCATTAACTGCCATCAGAATGAGCATCTGGGTCCTTCTTGTCTGGACCCACACCTGGAAGTGTGCAACTTGGGCAGCAGCTTTCCCGAGGGTCTCGTCTTCTCCCGTGGCTGTTTTCAGAGACAGAACCCACCAGTGGGCAGACCCACCAGTGGGCAGTTCTAGGGGTGCAGAGGGGGTCAGCTCATCTTGGCCTCTCCATAGGAGGTTAGCCTACTTTCGAGGATGAGACCAGTGACCATTCTGTCCCAAGCTCTGAGATCATGCTTCAGAGCATGAGTGGGATGGCTCAGAGTGGGGCTGAGCTGTTTATAATGTGAGTTCACAAAGACAGGCAGGCCAGGCCATATCCTGGTTAGTTCAGCGGTCACAGCATCCATGTACTTAGAATTTGGGGGACAGTAAAATCTTTTCCCCAGCTGCTCAGGCTCATCTCTATGGCTGGTGGGGTAGGATGTGGTGGGGGGGTGGGGCAGGATGGGGACCAGTCTTTCCCTTCATTTCCAGAGCCGAAATCTCAGAATGCTGTCTCTTCAGGGTTCTGTAGGCTCTTAGGGGTGTTTGTCCCAACCCCTTTTATAAGCAAAGTGACTCAGTCAGGCCACAGAGCCTCTAGGTGGCTGAACCAAGACTGGACAGACTGACTGCCCCAGCTTTTGTCCTTGGCTCTCCCTGGGATAAGCCAGACCAGTGTCCTGGGCTCTGAGCAGCCTCTGTCCCTTCTGCATGGGACGATGTTCTGACCCTTGGAGGTCAGCTCCAGGTCCTTCAACAAGACTTGAGAGCCTTCCCGTCCCAGGCTTGGGGATGTTTGTCTCCGATTAGCCAGAAGCTATTTTCCGACACCAGTTGTAAGAGGGGTGGGGGGGGGGAATCGTTTTTTTTTGTTGAAAGGGAGAGAAAGGTTGTTGGCAGAAAACTCCAGACTTCTTCCAAACTTCTATGTTTAGATTGCTCACTCCCGGAAGGGTGAGCCTTTTTTTTTTTTTTTTTTTTTTTTTTTTTTAAGTACAATCCAGTACTTGGACTGTGAGCAGTAGAGTCCGTCCCGTTTGACTCTTGTTCTTTCTGGTTACTTTAGGATCAGTCCCCGAAAAGCAAAACGAGATGGTAGATGCCCTCTTCCCTGGACCACACCTCATCCGGATACCCTCATTGCTCTGCATCCAGCTGAGCAGGGCCCAGCAGTTTACCCACCTTTGTCCTTGGAGCTGGGAGGGACCAGAGGCTACCAGTCGGAAGCATTGGACTGAGTGGGGACCTGGGGACAGACCTGACGCATGTGACTGGTGCTCATAGGATCATCTGCCCTCTTGCCCATCCCAGCCTCCCGGTCCCCATGTGACTGCAGCGACAGGGAACTAACTGCTGACTCCGGTCTCCTGCCTTCACACATCCCCCAAGGCACGGAGTCTGCGTCCCCATGTGGTTCTCCAGGTGGCTGTTGCTCCGCTGTGAGCATCAGGTGTGTGATGTCACTGTTTTGACACTGGACCTTCTTGGCCGTGTTGGTAACCCATCAGTGTGTCACACAATGCCCGCCAGATGCATCTCTGAGTCTCCAGAGACAAGCCACACAGAAGTCATCCCTTGCCCTACTCACGGCCTTCTGCCATCTTCCAGACTGTGGAAGGTCACAGGCGAGGAGCAGAGCCCAGGTTGGGCAGGTTGTTTCTCATGACCTGAGGGTCCCGGGTCCCGGCACCTTTGTGCCTGGATTGCGTCTACCCTACCTTCAGTGAGCTGTGTCCCCTCACCAGGGCAAGGCCGTTCTCTCTGCCTGTCCTGCCCTCCCCGCTGCCCATCAGCACTGGGGATGGGAATTACAACACTTGTCCCAACTGGGCAAGCTTTCCCGTGGTCCAGCACTGCCGCACAGAGAGCCCCACATAAGAGTGGAAGAGCTGGCGGCCCCTGTGTTGCTTAGAGCTTTGCATTATTTATGTACCTCGGTTAACCCCCTGGCCGCATCTCCCCAGTCTGCTTTTGGCTTCTGTGCCGGCTCCCAGGATGGCTTCTAAGACAGGTGCCGAGGTGGAATTACCTGGATCTTGTAGATTCTGGAGGTACTTGCTGGGACTACTTGGACATACGTGGTTGGGGTCTGGGGAGCACCCTTAGGAGACAGTGGGCGGGAGTCAGGGCTGCATTCTCAGGGTGATTTGAACCTTTCCTATGTCGGGCTGGTGGGATGTGGGGTCCAGGACTGGAGATTGCTTGTGGGAAGATGTCTAAGTTTCTACCTCAGCTTGGGCAGCAGATGTCCTTGGGACACCTGGACAAGCCCTGCTGCTTTTTATCACTAGAGGAACCTCTAGTGTCCTTGGCCTTAGGACATGCACCTGAGGAACCTGAAGGCCACCCAGGTCAGAGAGGGCCATTTCCGGGCCTGCGAGCTGCTGGCACCCATGACTGAGATGATCATGGTACCAGACCCTGGGGACAAGATCTCCACAGCATCATCCTTTGTTCTACTCTTGGGTACCAGACAGAGCCTCCTCCAGGCCCTCCCCAAGTGTGCCCTGGAGCCTGGCCTTTAGCACAGCTCTACGTAGTGCTGAGGTAGAGGTTTCCCAGGAAGGTGCCTCACGCTTAGTCCATGGCTTCCATGCAGCCCCTAGCAGCCAGTGCCTTTTATCATTGGGTAGTAGGTCCCCACGGAGTGGGACTACACCTCCAAATGTGACTTCTCCTGGCTTGACCTCTCTGTTGAAATGAGGATGCTCCATCTATGAGCAATACACTATTCAAGCCCCCCCCCCCCCACACACACACAAAGGAAGGGGGTCTCCATGCACCTCACACTGTCCTTGATCTAGAGCTCTGAGATCTGTCCCATCGAGCAAGGGACTAGTTTGCTGTCTTAAGTCGTCTTTCAGGACTCCCAAAGCACTAGATGCCTAGGTGTGCAGCCTGTGGTGGCTGTGGCTGCGTTTATAGCCCAAGTCCTTACTGCAGCTGCAGCTGAGGGGTGATGGGCTCCTGGAAGATGCAGCTCTGCCTGGATGCAGGAAGTACCCATGGTACTTACTTACCCTGCGTCTTCCAGTTCTGGTTCCAGTGAGAAGTCCATTTTTAGGAGGTTTGGGGGCCTCCTAGTTAGCAGCGCCGTATCACACTCAAGCCTTGAATGGGAGACAATGAGAAGGCCCAGGCCTGGTTCAAGTTCATCCTTCACAGGCCAGTCCCTTGGTAGATGTCACACCAACACTGTTAAATCCTACAGTGGATGTAAATGGGGGTTCAACTTTGTAACTACTCGGAATTAAATGACTGCCCTTTCTTTGCGAGGGCTTAACGCCTCTGTGTTCCTGTATGTTTCTAAGGCATTCTGGGGTGTCTGTCAGCTGGCCTGCCTGCCTCTCACCCCCTCCCTTCATTTTCATAAAATGCTTTGTTCACAGAAAGGCACTCTGGGGGATGATCACAGCTGCCCCAGGCCAAGGGGCCCTGTCATGGCCACACCCAACTGGCTCTCCTGGCCCTGTGCTAGTTCATGAGCACTTCGGCTCCTCACAGATGAGATGGCAGTGGAAAGTCTAGGTGTCTTGCCGGCTCTCACCACATGAACATTCTCATCAAGACCAGCACTTTCTCTAGCTCCGCAGAGGACATGCCAAGGTTGTGCTCAGGGGGCTACTAAACAGACTTCCTGTCTGCTGTCTCCATGCTGGGTCCTCCAGGAAGCTACGGCCCCCACTTACAGCAGCACCATGAATTATTTAGCGTCTGCACCAGCCAGAGTGCTCTGACCTCATCCTCCTTGGGCCCCATGTGGCTCTGACCTCATCCTCATTGAGGAAAGGTAGCTGTTAATGGACAGAGGTGGGGATGGGTGGGTCCCATTGGGGTGTCAGTAATTGAGGGGGTGGGTACCAGCAGTCTCAAAGAGGTGGTCTCCGAGACTCAATTACCCTTGTAGCAGGAAGTGATTCTGCCGAGTGGAGATTTCTATGCATGGTATAGAAATCAAAGGGTGCTTACTAACTGTGGCCTTACACAGTTCATTTGACCTTGGCCCAGACTCCTTTCATCTGTAAAACAGGAGTGATGACCTTTCAGATTTATAAAAGAGCACTCATGAAAATCACAGTCAAAGCGAAACACTCAGTGTGTCCTCCCCAGACTAGCAGGCCTTAGACTGGATCATTTGCTGTTCTAGGACTTGCACCGGTCCCCAGAGTGGGCGCAATAGCTGTTTTGGGGGTATATGTTGGTCTATCTTTTCAGTTTCCTGGTGTGTAAGAGGAAAGCCCTTGGTGGGTGGTCTAGTTGCACAAGAAATCCAAGTAGCCAGGCTGGAGGACTGGGACCAGACAACTGTCCCCCAAGTACCTATAGGGGCATCGAGAGGAGCAACCATGGTCCCTCTCTTCCTTTACTAGGCGAAATCTGAGCTCTGAAGAAGTGGGGGCTTCAAATGGCCACTCCAGAGGGTAGTAACTCTGGGCCACAGGACATCGTCGTCATGGCGTGGCCTGACGCGGCTCTGTTGGTCTTGGAGTTGGGCTGGCACAGCAGCCCCTGCCCGAGATCTGCAGAAGAACCAGGCAGATGAAAGGTCACTGCAGACTGTGCCTCACACAGGAGCTGATGGGGGTAGGAGGCACATCCTGGCCAGCTGTCTGCCTGCTGCCTCCCCGGAAGCCAGGGCAAGGAGGAGACGCTCCCTGGTATGTCTACAAAGAGGCAGAAACTCACAACACCCTCCAAGGGCAGTTGAGGGTGCAAGGGGTCTAGACCTGGGAAGGTTTTACACTGAATCCCAATGGGGAGGTTCAGATAGGACCCTGCTGGATCTCCAGGGTGCTGGGCTCAGGAGATCCTCTGCCTCTCTCTCCCACTGCAAAGTACCCCATTCTCTCCTTTCTTAGGGTGTCAGGAGGCGGGGAAGTGGCCTGAACATCTGGAGCCCCACCGTCACTCTTCTTCTAGGGCCCGCCCCTTTAGTCCCCAGCCAATCGGAGGCTGCCTCCTACTCCCATCTAAGCCCCACCCTGATGCCCTGCAATCAGATCCCCTTGAGTGCCAGCAGGCGCCAGCTGTCCCTAGCTGTCCCTGTGCCTGCCCAACCCTGGGTGAGGATGGGGGTAGGGAATGGGAAAAGGAGTGTGGGGTTGTTGGGGTGCCCCCACATTTTCCCATCCTCAGAGCCTGGGGTTGTGATGGTTCGGAAGTCTCTGTCCCATCTGCTCCACCAGCCCAGGATCATGTAGGTCTCAGCCTAGCTCAAGGAAGCAGGTCCCTGTCCCCAAAGACGACCGATGCCTGGACCAGCCAGCCTGGGCAGGGAGCCCCTCCACTGTGCTGGCTGGGCTCCAGAGGACAGGCTCCTCAGCCTGGCACTACTGATATTTGGAAAGGAAGACTATTCTTTTGGTGGGGCTGTGTGTGGTAGGATGCTGAGTGGGGTTCTCTATCCACTGGCTGTCAGGATCACCACCAAGCCCCAGGTTGTGACAACCAAAAAACGCTTGGAGATGTGGCAAATGTTGGTTAGGACTGTCCAGCCCTGGGGCCAAGGTCTGGTCCCCTAGGGAGTCACAGAGGGCCTCTGAGCCAGCCACACAGGGACCCTGGGATTCTGCTCTATTTCTGCGCTTCTCTGCTGATGGGCAGCCTGGGAACCCTGACCTTTGGCTACGACACAGGCAACAAGTGATTGCCAGCTCCCTATGACCTGCCTGGTGAGCTGAGTTGTCTTGGGACAGGAACGCCAGTCACACAGGTCTGTTTGCTGTGCACTGGATCAGGGTATCTGGGCCACCAGAAAGACCCACAGTCAGGGCCCAAGGTCAGGG